TAAAGCATTTCTGGGTGGAATGATTCTCAGTGGACTTCAACTCGAATGCACCCAAAACAAACCCAACTATTGAGTGGACAAACCAGACAATGTAAAATAGCAAAATGCAAGCAAACTGTCAGCCCTTCCCCACTGCTGAGCTCCCGGACTGAAATGGTTGACAGCGCTTTGTTCAGCGCTTGGGCACTTCATTCAGTGCCCTTCCAGCCTCATTTGGCTTATGACATCCATGGAGAGTCAGAAATCCTCAGTTCCTGTGGCATCAGGTCCAGACACACAAGTGGACACTTCATTCAGCGCCCTCCCCCAGACATGACTCATGTGGCCTCAAGTTCCTCAAATAATCTTCCAGAAATGCAGGGGTGCGCTGAATATTACAAAAGTACAGTCCACATGCTAAGCTGCTGTGTTCTTATTCAGGCTCAAGGGGGATGCTAAAACAATTGGGGGAAGTGGAAGAAATGACTACACTGTGTTTCTAGCAGTGATGGATTTGGATGTTGGAGCACAGCATGGCATTTTTTGCCATCACTGAAACTGATGTTTGGCACACTGTTGCAAAAAACAAAAAGTCTCGAATAGCCTGCCAAAAAGTCTTGGATGAATAGATTGTCTCTTTGGAGCCGTGAAAGCGTGGGGAGCCGCGGATGCGTGGAGCCGTGAAAGCGTGGAGCCGTCAAAGCGTGAGCCATGACGGCTAAAGACGGGAAAGTGTGGAGCCGCTAAAAAGATGTGTGGTGATACATAGCAGCATTGTGAGACAAAAGCTTTGCAGAAGTATGATCACCTTTCACTTAAAATACGCTTGGTGGATTTCCTGCGTCTCGCGGAACCGACATTCATTTCGCGAGCGCGGTGGCCCGTGGCGAGCGCAGCAGCCCGCGGCGAGCGAGCGCAGCGGCCCGTGGCGAGCGCAGTGGCCCGTGGCGAGCGAGCGCAGCGGCCCGTGGCGAGCGCAGTGGCCCGTGGCGAGCGAGCGCAGCGGCCCGTGGCGAGCGCAGTGGCCCGTGGCGAGCGCAGCGGCCCGTGGCGAGCGCAGTGGCCCGTGGCGAGCGAGCGCGGCGGCCCGTGGCGAGCGCAGCGGCCCGCATGCGTAGCGAGCGCATTGGCCCGTGGCGAGCGCATTGCGCCCCGTGTGGCGAGCGCAGCGGCCCGTGGCGAGCGAGCGCAGCGGCCCGTGGCGAGCGCAGTGGCCCGTGGCGAGCGAGCGCGGCGGCCCGTGGCGAGCGCAGCGGCCCGCATGCGTAGCGAGCGCATTGGCCCGCATGCGTAGCGAGCGCAGTGGCCCGTGTGCGTAGCGAGAGCGCGCGCGCGTGGGTGTGTGTGTGTGTGTGTTTGTGTGTGTGTGTGTGCGCCTAAGACACGTCCTTATAAAGGCTTCCTTATAAAGGGCTTCTTTGAAGGCTTCCTTACAAAGGCTCCTCACAACTGTGCTCTCATAAAGGCTTATATGAAGGGAACCGCAGTAAAGACTCCTCGCAAGGCTCATTATAAACGCGTCCTCATAAAGACTTCCTTATAGGGGGCTTCTCATAAAGGCTTCTTTATAAGGGGCATATTATAAAGGCTGCCTTATAAAGGGCTTCTTAGAAAGGCTTCCTTGTAACGGGCCGCCCTTATAAAGGCAGTCAAAGTGACCCAAGAAACGGACACTGCGATTCGCTTGTCCGTAGGGGGGGGGGTGTTGCCGGCAAATGTACCAAGGAGGTACCTCGCACATATATATATATATATATGAGTTTATACACACATGTGTGCAACCCCACATCTATATGACCGGGAATAGAAGGTCACCCTTTTGAGCTTCCCCCACATTGGTGGGGGAGGTGGCTTCCCCAGTTACCCTCTACAAGAACAAGGGCTTCAAATCACCACTTCAAACCATGGCCTCGACATGTGGACCAAACCAAAAAACCAAAAGGTCAAAACGTAAATTCGCTTGCAAGTGTGAAAACAAAAGCAACAACTAGATTTCTTGAGCCTCTCCAACATAGAGCGAAACAAATAGACAGGGATCGGTTGAAGGCCCCATTTCAGGGTGTTCAATGAGTCGATTGCAGCCGTGTTGCAGATCCAGAAAGAATCGGCTGGTGAAACCGTGTTGGGGAGATGAAGAATACAGTTGTATGTATAGCTGGACCCGAAAGAACATGAAAAAGGGACTTCGCCCCATGATCATGGGTTGGACTAACCTCCATTTAAGCTGGAATTTGAGGGTTCAGGTACATATCATATATAAGGCGGTAGCATCATCATCCTCAATCCGAACCGAAGAAGGTCTTGAAACAAGCGCAGCGGAAAAGCATGTAAACTGACAAGACAGGAAAGAAACAGGGATCCTTGAAACACACGCTACTTGATTCTGGAGTTGCCCCTCAAAGGTTTCTAGCTTTTTGCTGGGAACAGAAACACGGTACTCAACCACAAATTTAAACTAGGTCCTCCAGTAGAGAGGTTAGAATAAGGGTACCAACTTTTCTTGTTTGTCTATCTTAGTAGGGGAACCCTCCCGACCAAAAAAAGGAACAGTGAGAAAGGGCACCTAGCTGGGCGACCTAGAGACAGTTGTATGTATAGCTGGACCCAAAAGAACTACACATGAAAAAAAAAGACTCCGCCCCATGATTCTCGGTTGCAACCACAGCAGGGATCCTTATATGAAAAGCACCTGAACATTGCAACTTGTAAATGGTGGGTTCCGACTTGATTTTGGTGTTGAAAAAACCACATATTTCAAATGGACGGTTGCACAATTTGTATATGGTTGTTCTTTTTCTTTTTCTTTTCTTTTCGTTTTTGCTTTCGCGGAGCCCTGCACACAATTAACGGTGAATGCTCCCTTTTTTGGGAGGCCAACTAAGTCACCAGGAAATGGTTCCCTCCAAAGTCAGAGGTCCCAAAGTCCACGTCAGAGAAACCGATTTGGAGGGCAGTTTGCCCAGGTTGGACCCGAAAGAACTAGCCACAAAAAAGGGGAGATCCCCCCCACAAATTCGGGGCTACTCCATCATTTTGGGGCTAGAACCAATTTTTCAGCTGGACACTTTGGAGGGAAACCAGGTATCCCGCGTTCGATCGCGTCCGCCTGCGACAGCGGAAGGAAGGCCACAAGGCTCAGCGCAAGAAAGGCCATGCATTCCTTGCCAAGTCCTGAAACCGCGAGACCAATCCCTAGGAACCCCCAAGACCCTCAAGCAAAGAGGAAGCTCAAACCTCAAAGCCTGCAACCTTCAACTTGACAAGTTGGAAAACTGGTTTGAGATGTTGGGTCCCTAGGGAAAGGAAACGCAAGTCACGCCGGGACTGTCGTCACGCCGTGTTGGCGCGTCCGAGGTCGAAGTTTGGTTCGCGTGAGGTGCGGTTTGATCAAAGGGTCATCATGAAACAAGGATCTTGGGGGCTGGATGCTAGGGGGTCTGCAAAAAGGAAACAATGTCCCATCCTCCTCTGGCATATTTCACATGGGCTACTTAGCACCTAGTGTCTCTGCAAAGTTTCCCCCTGGCCGCTCTTCAAGGAAGCTTGGCTTGCAAGCCTTTTCTGGGCCAACCCATGCATGTACCGCTGTGAGCCAAAACCACAAGGCAAGCGATCAAGAGGCACACACGAGCTCAGCATTCAGTGGCTGTTTGGGCCATGATATAGGAACACGGTTGCCCGGAAAAGAAAGCAATAATTACCATCATCATCATCGTCGTCGTCGTCGTCATCATCATCATCATCATCATCATCATCATCATCATCATCATCATCATCATCATCATCATCATCATCATCATCATCATCATTGTCATCAGCATCATCATCAACATCATCGTCATCATCATCATCATCGTCGTCATCATCATCATCATTGTCATCAGCATCATCATAATCATCATCAACATCATCATCATCATCATCATCATCATCATCATCAGTAGCAACAACGTGACACTACCCATCCAAGAACCACATCCACCAGTCCTCTTCTCAACCTCCAACCAAACCAACAGTACACCACCATCCAAATCCAACCGGGCCACCACACGCTTGTCAGGGTATCGAAAACATCCCCTTTTGGTTTTCCTAACATGTACACTTACCCATAAATATCATCAGACATAAATTAAAACCTGCGGGTGTAAAGGGGAATATGGGCGTGTCCTTTTTGAGAGTACCCCATCTTTTGGTGGTTTCCAAGGAACACCAAAAGGATTGCCACATTCCTTTTTTTGGTGGGGTTCGGGGCGTTCCCTGAAAAAGACGTCGACCCATCTATCGTCAGGGAGTAGCTTCCGATCTCAGCATGGCGACTTCTCTAATTCTGGGTAGGGATTCAGTGGACTCATTGGACCCGGGCTTTGGACCCCCCAAAGACCTCAAACAAAATGCGTTGAGTGCCGGGCCAAGACAACCTAAGGTACCCTGAGGGTCCATGATTTGATTGGTTTGGGGTTTTGCAACACTGTCGGCAGTTGACTTTGGGCAAGACGCTGGGTTCCGTAGCCACGCGCCAAATGTCTGAGATGTCTCGATGGAGGTGTTCCGTTTGGCTTTCCTTTCAATCAACCCTACAAAAGGTACCTGGATCTTCACACGACCCAAAACAATGGTTATAGCCCCAGAGTTATGGGTGATTCTCTTCTTCTGGGTAGTTCTCTCGGGTCCAGGCGCCGCCCGTGCCCGCGGCTCAGGTTATCAGGTAAGTAGGTTATAAGTCGACACCATATAAAAATCAACCCCAGTCTATTAATACGATTAATAGGGGTCCCGGTGTCCATTTCTGGGTTAAGTGGGGAATCGGACCACTGTTGCAAGGGAAACACCCCTTTTTCATAAACTGGGGTTGATTCATATGGGGTCGACACTAACCCCTTTTTTTTAAGTAGGGCAACACGTGTTGGCTCCCTTATAGCCAGATACTATCCTGTCGCGGAATGAACATCCAAGTAGGGCCAGCACACCGCTGACTAGCACTCCCCGTGCCAAGCCCCGGCATCCCGAGTCAGCCGCCGCTTTCCCCCGCGCGCGAAACGCTACCGGCTATGCTTCGAAGGGGATGGCCTCCGTCGCCAGGACCGGGGAAAACCCGAGGATAGCGCACTTGGATGCTCTATTCGCCAAGTTAGTGGTTCACCAAATTGGATTTTCACCCACTGACTGGGTGACTCCACCTTGAGGTGGCTCAAACAAATTGGGTTGTGACCCAGGTTTCCAACGACTTACTAACTTGACCGAACACCCAAGTAGCCTACCATGGTTGTGAGGTGTCTCCTATCTTCACCAAGAAGGCTACCCTCAAAAAACACAAAGCCATATGATATGTGGTCATTTGGTATAGCACCCCAAAACCCCATAATCGCTTGGGGCCTTGTACCAGCTAAGAAGCCAAGCAAGGCAGAAGCAAAATGGTTGCTGCTTAAAATTCGGCAAGACTGGACCGACCCTCTGCAAAAAGTGACCATGTTTTGCTGGTTGAAAGGGTAGATGACAGAAAACCAAACATGCTTAAGATGTGTTTTCTTTAGTAGTTCGGTGTTCTAAATATTGTTGCATTTGATGGACATCCTTGAGAGCATCATTTACATCTTTCGTGTTCACTTTCTGTTCAATAGAGCGGTGAGTTGGGTAAGTTCAGTCTGGCAATGAAAAGAGGAAACAAAGGAAACCAAACGAGGTGGGTTGCGTCTGGCAACTCAGGCGCTGTTCCCCTTCACGAGGAAAGCGTTTCAGGCGAATGCACTGGGGATCTAAAGTTTACTCGCGGTGTGGTACGGGGAACCCGGAATTCCCCAAGCCCCAGGACCCATAGGGAAAAACATTTCACTTTCTGGGGTCTCTTCAAGCCCAACATCGAGCCCAACAAACACAACGAAACTGGGGTCCCCCCACCGCCAAAAAAAAAACAAGGCCAGGTTACCCCAAAGAAACAAACGCCCAAGCGCCGGCCATGCTTTTTGTCGGACAGACATGTGGGGGGTGCCTTGCGTTCCTTTGGGCTGGGTCAAGACATGCACGATGTTCCCTTTGGTTTCAAAAGGGCTGCTTCCTGTGGTTACCTACTACCTGGACCCTCCAACTACCCATGAAAAGATGGAATTCACCCACCACAATTCTGAGGATTTTCTTCCAAATTGTTCAGCGTGGTAGGGTCCAGGTCTCAGGTATGCACGCATCATAAAATCGGAGCCCGCAACAACAAGGGGTCGAACGGGGCCTCTAGTTCGTTCCTAAAGGTTGGCTAGGACCCTCTGTGCTCTTCCTCTCTCTCCGAAGTCAAGTTGGCGACATCAGCGTTCCGAAATGAGCTGAAGATTGGCTGTGAGGCAGATTTGCCAATGCCGAACATGCCCTGAAAGTTCTTTGCTGCGTTCACCAGCACTGCCTCTGTAGCTGGTTTGTCTGTCTGCACCGACCCTTTGGCTCCTGGGAAATTTGCGTGGGCATTTCCTTTGCTCACCACCCGCGACGCTAAATCAACTACGCTCAGCGCATCTTCAATGTCCTGTGTCTCTTCTTGGTTTTCTTCTTTTTCCTTCCCGCTCCAAGCATGTTTGGAGACTCAAGATGCTCAGGCTACGGGGAAATGGGAATCACTGGGATCCTTCACACAACGGGTGTTTTGAATACCGGAAGCCTCAAAAAAGGACCCATAAAAATGATTTGAGTTGGCCCAATCATAGGTGTCCTTTGAGTGGGTAGCCCTGGCAAATGGAATAAAACCAATCTAAGCCGGTGCCACCTCTAGTTCTAATCAAACCAACCTAACAAGTAAGGTCCATCCAAGTCTTGCACAGATTGGGATGGATGACACCCTATGAATACTGGGCTAAACCAATTATGAACCGCCTGGCAGGTCCCGGATCTTGTCCGTCCACAGTATGGCCCTAAACTCATAGTTCACCAACTTAAAAATGGGGTGAGTTCCAACCCAAAATTATGATTGGTGAGCTCATTTTTTTATGGGTAGCTTGAGGGTCGTCAATCTAAAAGATGCCCTCCTAGCAGGAGGCATTTGTGGGAGCGTGCAGGTGGTGAAATTCCCACCCTCCACCCCCCCAACCCCCACCCAACCCCCAACCCCCAACCAACCCCCAACCCCCACCCCCCCTTCCCTCCCCCAACCCCAACCCCAACCCCCCCCGACCCCCAACCCGCGACCCCCAACCCCCACCCCCAACCCCCACCCCCCCCCACCCACCCCGACCCCCACCCCGCCCAAACCCCTCCCCCGATTTCGGTTTCCCCGCATTGAGGGTCTCGTCCGCATCCGCAAAGATGGCCCAGCAGGCCGAGCCTCAAGGGCTAAAGAAGTCTCTTTCTCCCTCTGACTCAACAAAAATGGCGGCCACCCCTGTGTTTTGGAAGACCCCAGTGTTCAAGGTCAGAAGACTCCACTGTTTGGGTGATTCCAAGATTCAAGGGTCAGAAGACTCCAGGTACCTGGAGGCAAACGAAAAAATCAGACACCCATTTCCACAGCCACCCATTTGATACGGTCCTCCTTCCGAAGACAAGATACGCTCGGTGGCTTTCTGCTCCACTGCTAGAAGTTTATCTTTTGGTGGTTTAATGGAAAACCCATTAGTTGGCAAAAAGTCAGTCCTAACATCCAAGCAACATGCAACAAAGTTATATGCTTTGACAAACCAATCCTCCCGCCAGGTGGGCGGAGATAGGTCCCCCAATTTACAGTGCACATGATTTCTACCTAGGAGCCAACCAGGTCCTCCAGATTTGAGAGCTTATAAGGGTACCATGTTTTTTCTGGTTTGTCAATTCTAGTAGGGGAACCCTCCCAACCAAAAAAGGGAAAACAGGGCACTACTGGGGGACCTAGCCAATATAAAACGGATCTTACGCAACATACTGTGGACAAATTCCCGCGTGGTCTCCCCCATGTTTCTGTTACGACTTCATCTATCCCAAGTGGTGCGAAGAGGATTTCGCCCACAGTATCAACCCAGCAAACTGAGTCAGGGCGCAATAGATGTCGCCAGGGACGTCGTCGTCCTCAGCGCTTTGCTTCGGCCCCAAGTAAAGCAAATTTGGATGTGTCCATTTCTCGAGTGAACCCTTTTTACGGTCCTGAACCCTCGAAATCCCAACTTTAGAATGGGTTGTAGCAAACCCAACATTGTGGACGGGTGAATCCAACTCTTTTTGTGTAGGTGGTTTCAGAGTCCAGCGTGATTTGTTGTTGTCTTCAGGGACACGGGAAAATGCCTGCGTGGGGCTTTCCCATGAAACCTTTCCCAGGTTGGCGTTCCTCACCGCTCCGATCGGCACCTCGAAGACCCAAAATGGAGGTGTTCCTTGGTTTTTTCTTGGGGAAACAAATCGGCGTACCTGGAATCTCCTTTTCTGACCCGAAATTAAAAAACAAGGTCCATGACCAACCATTATTTAGGGGAGTCTGACCAACCATTTGTAAAGGGTCATGGAGACTCGTGGTACCCTCAAGAACCAAAACCGCCCCAGGCCGGACACCGACTAATCCATTGGGTTGTCCCCAAATGCTTTCTGCCGCGGGTTCGACCTTCGAGTAGCACGACTCGCAACGGCCACGGACGCTGTTTGTTACGAAAATCCCTTGTAGAATCACCACAACTCGGGTCCCCAACAAAAGAAAACAACATGACTTGCCGTTTGCAGCAGTCCCGCAGTGATTCCATTTGCCTGTATGGGCAAGGGTTTCCAACCCTTAACCCGCAGCACGCAAAAAGTCCATGTGGCAAATTCTGGCTCTGGTCCGGGTGGACTAACACATTCGGTATGGAATCGATATAATTACCCATAACAAATGAATTCAGCAACCATAGCTTTGGGTTGCAGTAGCCAAGCTTCAAAGCTGGTATTTTGAGGGTGGTAAACATGGAGAGAGCCCAGGTCGGGTAACCGCAGGGCTTCCCACCCGATCCCGAAAGGTAATGGCGTGGCTGGGAGTTTCAATGTGGATCCAAAAACCTAGTACTCAAAGGGGCCATGAAAGACCAGGTTTCTCCGAGCATTTAAGAAAGTGTTCCCCTCCCCATTCGAGTAATTAAGTCCCTTGTACTGTGGACAACGTCCGACCTCTAAATGTTAAGCTATACTTACCAACTGCTACAAAGCGGATATCCAGGTGGCCAACCAAACGAACCTGCGCGTGTGTGTCTGTGTGTGTGAACCTGCATGCTAAACGGGGAGTGAGGGTGCCAAAAGAAGGTCTGGAAAATTAAAACAACCTCAACCCTATACCCTCAAACAGGGAATGCACCAACCACAATTCTGTGGCAACCCACCTTTTTGAGGGTAGTTCTTCCGGGTCCAGCAAAATTAGAATCTCCTCCTAAATTATGCCATATGTGTTGGGGGTCTATATGAATAGATGGACCATGGGTGTTCGGCCAAGTAAGAAAGCTGCTGGCACAAGTGACCTAGGATATAGTCCCAGCCATTAAATGAGTAGCTAGCGGGATGCAAGGGTTGCGTCCACTTGGCAACTTGGCGAATCGAACCTCCAAGCATCTGAGAAGCTGTGTTCTTCCGCAACAGCTGAATGGATTTGGTCACTGCCCAGATAGCTCGATCGGTTCCGCAGGTTGGGCTTCAGGGCTCGGAATACCACTTGGCTTGGGCTTTGCTTGTTGGTTTGATAGGCAGGGAATGGGGGACTAAGCCCTATAAACCATACCCCATGATTTCCTTCAAGGGAATCCCCTTCCGGTTCATTCCCAAAATCCGGAACGTGCATTCCCTATTGACCAGCAAGTTGATTGTTTGCGGACTTGGTGCTTCTTAAACCAAACAACTACAACACATGGTTTCTTGCAACCCAACATTCTGCCTGGATCGCCAGTTGCTGTTTTTGCTCCATGCACTTTACCCCAAAAACCAGCAAGGGTGATTGAAAAAAGCAGCAACTTGGCTATCTAGGTGGTTGATGATGTCCCCTTGTTTCGGGTACCTAGATAGCCAAGTTGCTGCTGTTTTAAGTCACTGTTGCTGGTTTTTGGGGCAAAGTGCCTGGAAAAAAAGTAGCAACCGGCGATCCAGGTGGTTGGTGATGTCCCCCGTTTTTTCGGGTAGTGTCAGGGTTTCTCCGAAGGCCTCCGAATCGGAATCCCTCACTCGGCTTCGGGCCACGTGTTGCACCAGCGCCTCAAACGTGGCGAAGGCTTTTCGATCGGATCCCGGGTCAAACGGTGCATTCAGAAACCCTCAAAAGGACCCCTTCGGTTGATTTGCGGGAGGGTGGACACGTTTGGCATTGCAGAGCCTCGTGTCCCGCTTCGGTTGCAAAATGGGATGACCCTCAAGGCCTGTTTTCGAATTGGGAACTCATCAACCGCAATGTTGGGCCCATAACCCATGTTTGCTGTCTGTAAATGATTGGTTTCTGGCATTGAAGCCTATTTGCTTTGTAGCATGTGTCTTGGGAAAAGCCGGGTAGATCTGGAATGTAATGATCCTTCCAGAAAGAAAAATATGGGCATATTGCCTTTTTCTGAGGCTGCCATGCACGGAACGCCCCCGATTTCCGGGAAAACAATGAGAACTTGGCCCCGATCTTTAGCCACCTAAAGGGGCGAAATTCACGGGTTCCAAGCTATTTGCTTGGCCAAATCCCGTGCAACAACGGAACTTCTGTCTGAAATGGAATGGAAGTAAACCAAAGGGGCACAGCATGAAGAAAGGCCGGTCAAGTACCGTGTCAAAAACAGGCCTTGAGGGTCCTCAATCCTACTTTGCAAGTCCTTTCCAGAGGGGAACATGAAACTCTGCAATTCCAGACATGTCCACCCCGCCCCAAGTCAAACAAAGCCTTTTTTCAAAACTCGGATCCCTCAACATGGCGCCCATCGGTTGTTCCTCTACTTTTTCCTGGCATCAACAAAAATGCCAGCCACCCAAAGCAAAAAATGCCGGGGACTCGGTGGGCGACGTTGTTTCAGAGTACCTTTGGTGGTTCGGAGCCAGGTTTGGATTTGAACTCCTGGCTCTTCGCAAGTGAACATGGGAAGCTGCAGTTGATGAGTCCATGACACCTTGAGTTTGGGTAATGGCCAACCATTTTACAGGTCTTGAAGACTCCCCCTGACCACCAAACCATCAAACCTACGCTTCTCTGGCCGAGGGCAAGACGCTGGCGGCATCGCCCACACAGTCCTGAAAAACATCCGTGAATCCGCAGTGGATCTGGACCCGAAGGAACTACCAACAGAAAAGGGAAGCCACCCACCATATGTTTTGGGTGCATCGACCCCTTGCTGGGATGTATTTTCTACCGACTTAAGGCAAGCCACCCAGCATATGTGTTGTTGTTTGCATCGACTGCTTGGTATCTTGAGGCCAACCAATTTTTGAGTTGGCATGTTGAGGGTGGACCCAACCAAACACATGAAGGCTTGACTTGTGGCACCAAAAAACGCCGCACGATCCCATGGAGCCTGGATCGAGTGGGTGGGTGGGTGGGTGGGTGGGTGGGTGGGTGGGTGGGTGGGTGGGTGGGTGGGTGGGTGGGTGGGTGGGTGGGTGGGTGGGTGGGTGGGTGGGTGGGTGAGTGGGTGGGTGTCGTAATTATAAGCCTGAAAATCAGATTTACAACATACAGCAATATGGGATTGTTTGTTTTTGAGGACCCCCCCCAAAACAAAGCAACAGAAACAAATGAGGGGGTGCCTCACCAAAAACGGCCAACGCGCACTGGACCACCACCCCCTTTGACAGGTTTCGAAACCGAACCCCGGGCCCGTCCTCCTGCTGTGTGCACAACGGGTGACCTACAGCTTTCAGCCTCGGACGTTTCGGAGAAAAGGCAGCCTGAGACCTCAAACTACCCGTTAAACAAATACCTGGGCCCTCGCACGCCAGTTGCGATCGTTTTCGTTTTTGCATGCGCTCAGACTCAAAACCCAGCAGCAGAGACTTGAAAGAACGATCGCAGCTTGGCTATAACCGACCATAGTTTTGGGGCTATAACCCATAATCAAGAGAGTTTTCAGGGTTCAGGTAGAATTCGCCCACCATCATGTTGAGCACTCGGGCAAGCTGATCCGAACAGTCCGATTCGATCCTTGGGGTTCTGACAATGCAGGTTTGCTGGGCGGGTTGTAGGGTTCGGGATTCATCGGAAGGCATTTGGAGCGATCATGACCCTGAAAAAAAACCCTAGTCTACACTCTCAAGAAAAATCTCAACCGGCACAAGTTTATGCATCTCTTGCACGTTCACTTTACATGCTCAGTGCCCCATCACTGCAGGCCTCATCGGTTCATAATATGTCCTTCATGTAACAAACATCCCAGACTCTTCTAAATTCGACCAAACCACCCAAACATTGGATTGTTGCACAACACACCCGAAAAGGGTTCCGAAGCAATGGGCTGACAAAATGAACACAGGACGAAAACCAAGATGTTGCTTGAGACCTGCGCCCAGCACATAAACATTTTGCACATAGCATTGCCCCTGCCCGCGATCTATTGCGCAAACATCCCAAAACGGCATTGCCTCGAAGCAGACACTACTATAAACAACACTTCAACAGTCGCACTGCGCTGCAAAATTGTACTGCCAAACTCCTTCAGGTTGACTGCCACAGTAAACCAACTCAAATGTAGTGTTGCCGGGCTTTCTGAAGCCTGACCGTGGCGAATATATAACTGAAAAGCATCATTGCAACACATCGCTTCGGCGAGCCTGAGCCACGCCCAGCGCCCACCACAAAAATTCCAGGCGCGCCCAAGCACAAACGTGTGTGTGTGTGTGATTTATGATCGCCTTCCAAACTAACACCCCAATTCCGATCCAACATCTGTTGTTGAAGATGGCTCGCGCCAAATATATTCTTGCTGATCGTGGGCGGCTGTCGCAAACCCGCACCTCTGCGCCTTCAGTGCATGTGTCCAGATGGAGCAAGAACGTGCGAAGCTTGAGCCACTCATCCTGTGGATTTACAATGGCACGCTAATGTCATGGCTCGGAATTTGCGTGCCTTGACCAGGCCTCAGACAGTACAGCCGCGGATTGTGCTGCGAGTATCGTATTTGGTGTTTTGGAACCTCCCACCGCTGCGCATGAATGACGATGTCGTCCTTCTGCGCCTGACAGTGCGCGCAGTGCGCGTGAAGCATGCCCGGGCACAGCACAGAAGTCAGCATCGTCTCGTCCTCGAGATACTTCTAAACCCAACATGCGCATGAAACACTCCGATGTAACACAGCTGACACTGCTTTGAAACTGACTCTGGTGACTAGTATGTTATCTGCATCTACCTGATGCATTCCAACAACAGCGCTTCTGTCACAGCTGAGACCGCAGCCGTCCTGTCCTGTCGCAGTCCGGGCTGTCTCAGACATGGGCCTGCGGCGTCACTCTCCCTCACTGCCTCGGGCGTCAAATACAACAACTACAACAGCGACCGGTCTGCTGTACTTCAAATGAGGCCGTGGCACGGGTCCTGCAGCTGGCCTTCTTTGTTGGTGGTGACCGAGAAACAGTCGCTGATTCGGATGTGAACCGCCTCATTCTCAGGGCACACTATTGCTCGGAATTGACATAACTCTAAACACAACATGCGCATGAATACTCTCATGTGACAGAGAGGACTGTCGTTTGTTTTTGAAGCTGAATCGTATGTTATCTGCATCTACCTACCTGATGCGTTCCAGCAACATCGCTTCTGTCGCAACTGAGACTGCAGCCATCCCACGGCGGTCCCAGCTTGCGTCCCGTTCCCAGACATGGGCCTGCAACATCACTGCATCGCGCGTCAACTACGACAACTACGACAGCGAACGGTCTGCTGTACTTCAAATGCGGCCGCGGAATTGGTCCTGCGGCTACTTGCCGTCTTCTTGGTGGTGAGCAAGAAACGAGTCTGCTGCTGGCCTGCAATGTCAATCAAGCTCTGTCGCTGATTCGGATGTGAACCGCCGCGTGCTGAGGGCACTCTATTGCTCGAAATCCGCTGAAAACTCAACAATCCTCCTGCGGACAAGATCAGTCTGCGCAGGAGTTGCGTAGTGTTAGAGAAATCTATAAACACTTTCAAGTGTGTGGTGACCAAAACAAAGCAACACAAACAAATGAGGGGGATGCCTCACCAAAAACGGCAAACGCGCGCTGGACAAGCCCCTTCGACTGGTTTCGAAACCGGGGCCCGTCCTCCTGCTGCGTGCACAACGGGTGACCTACAGCTTTGCCTCGGACGTTTCGGAGAACAGGCCACCTTAAAACTCAAACTACCTGTTAAAAAAATACCAGGACCCTCGCACGCCAGTTGCGATTGGCTTTGTTTTGCATGCACTCAGACTCAAAACAGCAACAGTGACTTGAACAAACGATCACAACTTGGCTATCTCACAAAGACAGGATTTCACCCAATACTTTTGGGGCTATAACCATAATCAAGGGAGTTTTCAGGGTTCAGGTAGAGTTCACCCACCATCATGCTGAACAATAGGGATTGTTGATTGTTTGATCCAACTTAAACATGGGGTGAGTTGCAATTGGTGAACTCCAACTGTTCTTGGGGGTAGCGTTAGCTCTTTCCGGTCCAGGCAAAAGGAAGGAAAGCCAAGGTCAAAACGTTGAACAGGTTTGCAAAGTCTGGCCATAGGTGTCCGTTTGGAAACTAGGTGATTTTTCATGTTTGGCACCAGCACAGTTTTTTCAACCAAAAAGGACATCTATTCTGGCAATGGCGGGGCATCTCAAGAAGCTCTTGCGATTTCTTCCCCCAAGGGCGTCTTGAACCCGTAATCGGCTCGGGGATAAAACCTTTAAAGACTTCAATGGGTTTCGCGTGGGCAGGCAGGGTGCTCTTAAGTTGCTCCCCGGGGCGTTAGACTCGACTCTTGGGGTTCTGAAAATGGTTTGGAGAGGTAATGACCCTGAAAAAATTGCCTGGTCTACACTCTCAAGGAAAAACTCAACCCGCCCAAATCTATGCATCTCTTGCGTGTTCACTTTACATGGTCCATGCCCCATCACTGCAGGTCTCATTGGTTCATAGTACTGCCAACTCCTTCACGTTAACTGCGACACTGAACCAATTCAAATGTAGTGTTGCCGAGCTTTCTGGAGCCTGACCGTGGTGCACAAATGATTGAAAAGCATTCTTGCAACACATCGCTACAATAGATCGGCGAGCCTGAATCACGCCAGCGCCCACTACTATATTTCCAGGCGCGCCCAAACACTAACACCGAAATTCCAATCCAACATCAACAGTGTTGAAGATGGCTCGCTCCAAAGCATGTTTTGGCCTGATCGTGGGCGGCCGTCGCGAACCCGCACCTCTGCGCCTTTGGCGCATGTGTCCCATGCTAGTGTCACCGCCAGCAGCACTCTGGGCGTAGGCAGTACAGCACCGTAATTGGTCTATTGATCGCAAATAGGGGCTTGGAAGCACCAGCAAGTTCTGCAGATTTGGTTCCAAGATAGCCCAAATGATCCACATAAAGCAGCCCGGACCTGGCGCATGGTGTTCAAACATTTTCGCTTCCTACTTTGCCTTACCAAAACAAATGCATCTAATACTACAGCTCTACAAGGCTCAAAGAATTCCATCTGTCCCGAACCCCAGCGCAAACAATCAGACATGTACACCGGTTGGATAGGATGATGTATTGAGCGTTGCGACTCAGCAAGCAACAAGCGGCAGTGACACCCAAAACCAATTACAATCCAAAATAAATCATGCTCGGCCAGTCAAATGATGCCTTCGACGCTTTCCGTTCGCACACCGTGCATGACTTGCGCGGCTCTGCCATGTGTACCCTTTCACAACGGCTGCCAGTTGCTGGTTATGCCACCTTGCTGCTGGTGGCAACGGGGGTAGTCAGTAAAAATATGTGCGCAACAGTACTCGTAGGAAGTAGTGGTACGACGATACAAACAAGAAGTACAAGCAATATCAGCATCCTAGTGGTAGGAGAAGAAATACCCGGCGCAACAGCAGTGGTACCGAAATCGAAAAAGTAGTAGTAGTAGTAGTAGTAGTAGTAGTAGTAGTAGTAGTAGTAGTAGTAGTAGTAGTAGTAGTAGTAGTAGTAGTAGTAGTAGTAGTAGTAGTAGTAGTAGTAGTAGTAGTAGTGGTAGTAGTAGTAGTAGTGGTAGTAGTGGTAGTAGTAGTGGTAGTAGTGGTAGTAGTGGTAGTAGTGGTAGTAGTGGTGGTAGTAGTAGTCGTAGTAGCATAGTAATTGTTCTCGTCATAGTCCTCGTGGTAGTGGTAGTAGTGGTAGCAGCAACCGGTAGCAGTTTCAGTAGCGGGAGCAGCCATAGCAGTAGCAGTGGCTGTAGCAGTAGCAGTGGCAGTAGCAGCAAGAATCAAGATTAGACATAGTAGTAGAAGCGGTTGGCTGCAGCAGGTGGGTATGATTCGAGGGGCATGATTCTGGGGTGTGATTCGTGGGTGGGTATGATTCGGGGATATGATTCGTCGGTATTATTTGCCAAGGTCCCACCTTATGCCCGTTCAAGCAGCTCAACACGACAAATAACAAACAAACTATAGATCTGCGCCGGGGTCGACAAATAGCTGTTTTGGGGTGCATTCGCTCCGACGTTCAGTTTCAGGGCGTCGGTTGGATTTTTCCCCGTGCCGTGTCTCGAAAGTTTGCGCAGTCACCCTGCCAAGGCTGTCCAAACTCGGGTGAAATTACAAGACAAGGTGAGCAGCGGGCTGGCGCTGGGCGTTCTCCCGCTGCTTCGGATGTGCGCTACTGCGACCTGAGTCCACAGCATACCTAGCGTTCCACTCCAGCATTGAGACAACCTTGCCAATCTCCG